ACTCGTTCGATTCGCAGACATCACTGTCTCAGATAAAAGACGTTCTCAAGTATGGGTGCAAATAGCGCATAATGAGGATAGAAGGATGTCGTACATTTTCGTATCAAGTATACATGAAAAGCTACAAAGTTGATGTTCCATTCCAATACAAGACTCTGAATGAATTAATGATGTGGAGTGATTTTGATTATTCGGGTACGAAGCACTAAGGTAGAGGGGGACGTTCAACGTGGCTACTCGTGTAGAGGGGAAAGGAGGTGGAAGGGGAGCGTGTCATCGGACTAATGGCTCAGGTCTAAAGAGTTTGTACTTCCTTCTAAGGTCCTCCGGGACAGAATCTCTATGTTCAGGATAGTCCTTGTAACGCTTTCTCAACACATCGCGACGACAGAACCTGCCTTTCCCATTGGTGGTCCTCGCGTCCAACTTTGCTTGGACTTTGCAGCCTGCGTGATGACAACGGAGGTCATTCTCCGGTGCATGTTTTGTTTTGACGTGCCGGACGATTTCGTTGGAGGTGAAGAAGTGGCCGGTCGTGGGTTGGTGAATGTCCTTTGGAGGTTCGCCGTGCAGCAATGGGTTCCAGCCACCACGCTCACAGTCAAAGACGGGGCAGGTCATATACGGGTGGCGAACCGAGCCAGACAAATGTTTGTTGCGGAGTCGTTGGACGAGCAGCTGGCATTTACTGCGAATGAGTTCGACGTCAGAGTCGCAGAATACGGCGTCGCGTGGAATGTGTCCCTTTGCAATAGTCGCGATTGTTTGAATTGAAGGGATTGTGATGGGAACGGCTGGGCGAGCTGGAGAAGGGTGGCTAGACTGAATAGACATTGGAGCAGGGCTCCCTCGAGTCTTTAGCTCGTCAGCAACAGGGGTAGTCTGCTTCGACTGTTTTTTATTGTTATTATTGGCGGCCCCCATAGTAGTGGCAGCAAGAGTGGGGTCGATAGAGGAGAGGGAAGCGTGGTTGTTGGTTCCGCTACTTGCGCCACTTGCGCCACCTGATCCGCAAGTGGCCAAGGATGGATCGTCTACGAGAAATGCATCGAAATCTATGGCTTGATCGTTTGAATTACTTTCGTCGCTTCCGAGGGAGAGTGTATGGCTTGCAGGTGAGTTCAAAGTGCTTGTGAGGATGTGTCCATAGATGCCCGCGCCGAGGGTGGAAAGCAGAGTAGGAGCGTTATACGTCGTAATGGCTTCGTGTTGGATTCTATAGGCATCCATAGGTGGTGGGCTACCTTCTGGAGACATACCGAACGGTGGCGAGAGCTCGACCAGCGAGGAGGGGAATGAGGAATCTAGCGAGAAACTGGGACGTTCGAGAAGATATAGGGAGTCTTCGAGATGGTCAAGTTCGTCAGGGAGATTGAGAAACTCGGACCAGTTGATGTTGCAGGAAGCAAATTGCATCTGAAACACCCTGTTAGCCCCTTTTGCCACTGTCATCATCGCAGTCTCAATCGGCCCACTGACCTTTTATTACGCGAGTAAACAAGAGTATTAAATAATTACTTGGAGGTTAGTAGAGCAGTTGTGAGCGAGACGGGGTTGCTGAAAAATGTTTTGCTTGGTTTCGTAGCGAATGCCACCCCTTTTATACGCTCGAGGAAGTGTGGCTTGTTGTGTACACAAAGGAATCTATTAGAGCCATCTCAATGGCTAACTAGAACGCGCAAGCTCTGTGGTGCACAAAGGCGAATCTGCAGCAGGCAAAGACGAGTGGCTTACTCGTGTTTAGCCATCTGTCAACTCGTGAACGAATCGGAGAACGAAATCGTATCTTGGGTTTAACTCGACGAATTCATCGGCGCTCGGCCAGGAGCTGAGTATGCACGGCAAGTCAGGGGTTCCCCAGCCAAGGTAAGCCAGAGGGAGGCGACCATCAACACAGGTGGCTTACGATCAGGCTCGCGTACGTTTTAGCCCTTTTCGTATTACCTAATATTACTAAATATTTTATGATAATCAGACACCGAAAAGCCTCGCACATGTCCCTCGACCTTCCCCACCTCGTCCGGTCGAAGTGGGCGCTACTCCGGATCTAGAAAATCCGTTTAGAAACCAGGAATTATTCTTCCCGTGACATAATCATTACAGGGCCCACTAGGGCCCATCCGTTGACTGCGGCCCAACGTCGAGAGCACACGCGCGGTAACAGAAGCCGGTCGCTCCTCTGGCCAATTGGCCAAACCTGCGATACGACTTATGCTCATCCCCTATGCCAACGGACTGATAAGAACGCTTAGCGCGGCCTGAGCATATGTTGGATCTGATTCTTGCACTATCATCAGTATCTCCTCAACTTTGATTCTCGTCATCCGAACTTGGGAAGCAGAGTGGTGCGCGTGGTCGGCGACGCCATTGGGCCGTGCGTCCGCGGCCAGTATTTCTCGCTCGGGATCGCCATATGGTTACCACCCGGTCGTGTATAAAGTCTAACTCGTAGTCAGCCTTGGCATTGCCATCTAGTTGGCTATAAAAGGAGCGCTGGGTTTGCCTCAAAGCTAAGCCCATCCTTCTTTCCGTCTTTTACAGACCACGACCCACTCCTTTTACCAGCACGCTCTCTAGCGCATTTTAGTGAGTTTATTTATGGCATTTTTATCCCCTGTCGTGTGCACTAACATTGCTCTCAAGGCTGAAGATGTTCTTCCGATCTGTTCTCTACACAGTTGCCATCGCCGGCCCTCTCTCCGTCTTTGCCTGCCAATCTCATGTTACTAAACCACCACTTCTATGGCTCGCCGACCTTCGCAGTGGAAACCCCTCTGTTGATTCCGACATTACACGCACCGCAACTGGACCGGGACTTCGTCTCATCCGGTTTGAGGATGGCGCTACACCAATTCCGATCACGCCAGAAGAAAAGATCGAGCTAGAAAAGTCTGGGCTCAGATACTTTGATGTTACTGAAGTCGATGTCGAGGCTGTCTTCCATGAAAGCATTCGCGCCGGCAAGAGTGGTGTGGCCACCAAATCCAGTAAGCTCGCAAACTTCATTGCATGCAAAAGCCAGTCAACTCATGTGATTTCTAGTACCTACCAGCCCGTCCAAACAAGACAAGGTCAAGCCTGTCATTGCGACCCTCTCCCAAGACAATTTGAAGGCCGACTTGGCCGCGTTGATCAAGTACAAAACCCGGTACTACAAGTCGACTACCGGAGCCACAGCTGCCAATGACCTTTTGACCAAGCTCAAATCTGTAAGTCTGCTCGCCAGCAAAGAGAATGTCTTTCTTAACTTGGGTTAGATCGCTTCCTCTGCCTCGGGATCTGGAGGTGCTGTGACTGTCTCAGCTTTCAGCCACACGTGGGGTATGTCGACCATCATTGCCAGGATTGAAGGTAAGAGGAAACATGTTGTCTTTTATGGGACTGCCTTACTTATTAAGTATAGGCCAGACTACTTCCGGACCCATCACGATCGTCGGTGCTCACCTTGATTCGATCAACCAAGCCGACCCTGTGAATGGAAATTCACCTGGTGCAGATGATAACGGCAAGTCGCTAGCCTGGTACATATGTGCACCCGCTCATGGCTAGTTTAGGATCTGGATGTGTCAACCTCATCGAGGCATTCCGCAAGTTGGTCGCCGCTGGATTCAAGCCTTCCAACCCAGTAGAATTCCACTGGTACTCTGGTGAAGAAGTGAGATATTCTTTACTGATAGATTGATGATTCTGTTTTGATCATTCCTTTTTCCTTATTATTAGGGCGGCTTGCTTGGCTCAGCCAAAGTCTCCGCTGCTTACAAACAGCAGGGCAAGGCAATCAATGCCTACATGAACTTGGGTATGCGGGCTTCCATAGTCTTACGCTTGGACAATTCGCTGATTATTTGCAATAGACATGACCGCATGGCTCCAGACTGGAACTACCCCCCAAATCGGTTTCGTCAAGTGCGTCATAGTGTTCTCTCCCCTGCATCCTCTAACATTGTCACTACAGGGACCGCACCGATTCTGCCCTCACCGCCTTTAGCAAGAAGCTTGTTTCTACTTATCGTGAGTTCATTGGTCCCATTCTCAGAGTCCTAGTCTGACCTGAATCCCTAGTCTCCGGTGTTATGTAAGCCTATCATGCCAGTGATCAATAATCCCCTGACTTTGAAAAAGTGCCACCGACGATGAGTGTGGATATGCTTGCTCAGATCACGCTTCTGTACGTCTCCACCTCACCCGGTCCCACACCCATGGGCTCTGCATGAACTGTTACTGACTTCTTCCATAGTGGAACAGCCTCGGATATGCAGCAGTCTATCCTTTCGAATCCATCACGGCGTATGAGAACCCCAACATCCATAAAGCTGCGGACACTGCTACTTCCTCGCAGGTAAGGTTTGATTCACTAGTAACACATTTAATTTCTTCTAACTTGAACCCTAGTTCTCCTATGCTCACGCCCACGAGTTCACCAAGCTCGTCGTAGCTTTCGTTATGGAGCTGGCCCTCTAAGGATGATGAAACGTTTACGATTTATACCCGAATTGATGAGAGAATTGACGTTTCATGTACATCCATCCGTATCGACAAGAGACGAGACAATGGTACACGAGAGGAATTTTTGACACGATATTGTAGATAGAGCGAACGGAAGACTTTTTGGAGTGCGGGCGTTCCCCGGTTGGCGATCAGCCACCGCTCAATCCAATCCTTTATTTTATTGATCTCTTTCACCCACAAACTCTGCGAACCACTTGAACACTTCGTAATGCCACTTGTAAGAGTTTTGAGCGTTGAGTACCCAATGGTTTTCATCCGGGAAGTAGAGGAATCGGCTAGGAACACCTCGTCTGAGCACCCAACAATTATTAGAAAACGTAGAAAACGATCGAGGAAGAGGGCGTACTGTTGTAATGCGTGGAAAGCACCGATTCCTTCGGTCTCTGCCAATCTGAAATCCTTCCCTCCGTGGATGACGAGTTGAGGCGTACTCCAGTGGCCTACGAACCGCGAGGGGTTGAATCTTTTGGCGAAATGTGATCAGTATTCTGGTATCAGGAGACGGGTCTGGCACTGACTTGTCTGCTACTTTGGTCTTCCATGGCGGTCCTCCAAAGTCATGATTGAACTACCCTTGAATGAGACAAGTCTTCGCTACCGAGATGCAAGAGCCACTTACGAAGAAGAGCTCATCAGTAGAGAAGCCATTATAATGCGTATCGAATACGCCATCGTGACACGCCAACGCCTTGAATCCAAAACCAAATTCTGGGTGTCCTTGGATCCAGCTGGTGATGATATCAGCACAATATGACATTTTCAAGCATTTGAAAGACGAACTTGATGGCAAATCCACCCCACGATGCCCCAGCCGCCACTGTCCTTTCCGGATCAATCTGAATAAAAGATAAGCCACTTGCCTTGAAACTTCTAGATCCGCTTACCTCTGGGTGCTTCTCAAGAATATACTTCCACCCTCGGATCATATCATCAAACGGACGTCCTCCCCAGTCCTCGGTGATGGCATCCGTGAATTCTAGAGAGGTGCTAAGCTAAGGTTCTAGTATTGGTTCTCAACTCACCTTGACCGTATGTGGTACTTCCAGTGGGATTGATCAGAATGGTGTAGTAACCCTGTTGTGCGAACACTGCTTCGAGTCAGATTAAAGTTCATATCATCAAGGTAGGCTAACCGTTGGGATTCCAACGTGTGCTCCAACTATCCTCCCAAGCTCCCTGAGGACCACCATGGATGAGCAAAACGGCGGGATATTTCTTCTTCTGGCCCTCTTTCCAGCCCTTTGGTTTCAGTGCGAAGCCGTGTACTTGCACATGTTTGGCGCCCGTGAACCAAAATTCCTCTCCAGGATCTAAACCCTTTCCTTCAAGGACGTCTGCACCAAATTTAGTGATTTGTTTCAATTCAGGAGACTGATTTTCGAGCCCGGAAATTATGAAAGCATTGTTGGGAGAAACGAGAGACGAAGCAGTAAACAGTATCCGGCCATTTGGTAGTGTTTGTGCACTGCTGGCGGCATGTCGTTCTGTCAAAGGAGTCGGGTGCCCTTTATGAGATGTCTCTTGGGACGAGGGGGTAGGAGGTACAGGAAGAGTGAAGACTTTGATGTGTCCGTTATCTCCCGCCGTAAATACGAGGCTGCTTCCATCGTGCGAGAACTGATGAGTGGGCATCAAGGTGCGACCCATAGTCCTGCTCTCAGCCCCAATGGGGATAAGGCCGTATGGGTAGAGCTCGCAAAGGACGGCTATGAGAGCGATCCTTCTCGCATTGTCATCTATGACCTCCAA